CGGCAGGGGACACCAGAAATGGGCTTCACACATTGTACCCATGTCGGGAATCGAACCCAGGTCTTCAGCGTGACGAGCGAACGCTTCAACCACTAGGCTACCCGACCGCCCCATTTCTCCTTGTGAAGATCGGGGTTAGAATTGGTCTGCAGCAACCATGCTTGTCCTAAGAGGCGACTAACAGTATGGGGTGGTCACACTTGTTAATTTGTTTATTGTTTGCGGCGTATAAATGACTTGGATGTCATTAGCTGGGTATATGGATGCATGTGAAAACATTATAATTACATGTTCACAAGTTGCAAGACCCGTAAAGATCTGGTTCAGAATTAGTCTTCAGGAGCCCATACTCTTGATAAGAGGCGACCAACAGGGTCGGGTGGTCAGGCTCGCTGTCTTGGTTGATGCATGTTATCGTATCCCAATTGCATGTATCGATGCTCGTGATATCAATCTCTGAATTGTCTGGTTAACACTTGATTATTTACAGACCGCCGTCATATAGTTGGAATAATGCTAAGTAAGCAACAAACAACAAACAACTAGAATAGTGCTGTGTAGTGTTTAAAAAAGTATCGTGCCAATCTCTTGTGACAGCATGTTCCCTTTTTACTGTAACAGTGATAATTCTCTTTGTATTGTTATGGTTTACTGCTCTGGCTGTGGATAACCTGTCAGCATGTGTTTACACATAGCAGGTGATACGATGTGAGCAGGTGGGAGATACGAACAGTAGCACATGTGCTGGATATGAATATTAACACACATGGAGGTACTTCAAGGGAGATAAGTATGTCAAGCACTGCATGTTGATACAGTCTCAGTGTATCACTTCAGAAGGATATGGTGCTATTTGAGACGTCTTTGGATGCAATATACACCTGCAGGGTTACGAAAGCTGGGCAGATCTATGACTGGTTAAAATATCAAATGGTGAGAAATATACTGTCGTGGAATTTGAGCAGGTTCAGTTCCTTCTTTTGGTAGTAAAACAAATGTTTTTAGTTGGGGATGTTTTTTTTTGTGAAAGGAAAAAACTTACTTGTAGTAAGGAGCTTCCTTATAATGAGGCGTGTGTTACTTGATACAGGTATGAAACATGCCTTATAATGAGGACTTGATACAGGTAAAACGAATGCTTCATTGGGAGAAGTGCCTTTACTGATACTGGTACAACAAATGCCTTATAATGAGGAATGTCTTGCTAATATATAGCAGATCTGTTCTGGAATTTTTTAGCTGTATCAATGATCAATAAGAGAATTCCTAACAGGTTAATTGTGTATGACAGATATATTCCATTGAATATCTGATGCAGTTGAACATGCAGCATGCAGCTTGAGTTATCCATGGCTAATCTGAGCAGTACCGACAGCCATATATCCTGTGGATGCGTAATAGATCCTTGATGGTCCAATGATAAGACAAAATGACTAATATTGTAATTCGGTTGCGGATATGACAGGACTTTCATCTTGGAAAGTTGCATTCATTGTAATTGGTGTTTTGGAGTGAGTGAGTGAGTATAATTTTGCACAGCTTTTACCAATATTCCAGCAATATCACTGCAGAGGACACCAGAAATGGGCATCACACATTGTACCCATGTGGAGAATTGGCAACCCCATTGATGTTTTTTTATACTTAGCTTGTTCTGCTCCTATGACCAAAGAGGTCATTCCAGCCATCATAGTCCCCTCGTCCTTATCAGTAGATTCCAAATCTCATGTCCGCCTGTCACTGACATTTTGATAAACTATTAGCAACAACTTGAAGCAAATTCCACCGTTCTCTGTCTTTAACGTTCTCTGTCTTTAACATCGGCTGAAGATCTGTTTGTGGAACAGGTTTTTTGGAATGGAATACATCATCAGTTTGATCCTTGGACAGTGAAACCCATGGGGCCCCGGGGTGGAAATGTAGGTCCCTAACAACCTATGCTTGCTGTAAGAGGCAACTAAATGTATCAGGGGTCAGTCTTCTTGAATATATTTACTCCCCGTGAAGATCTGTGTTAAAATCGGTTCCCAGCAACCATGCTCGACCTAAGAGGTGACTAACGGGATTGGGTGGTCAGACTATCTGATTTAGTTGATGCATGTCATTGTATACCATTTGTGTGGACTGATACTTGTGATATCAGCCACTGGATTGTCTTGTCCAGACTTGATTATTTCCAGACTGGAGTATACAGCTGGACTAATGTAGGGTTAAACAACCAACTTTAGGCGGCAGGGTAGCCCAGTGGTTAACGTGTTTGCTCGGCAGGCTGAATTTGGTCCTGTTTCCAACATAAGTACAATGTGTGAAGCGGGTTCTTGATTTCTAGGCGACTATGCTTGTTGTAAGAGGCGGCTAAAGGGATCAGGTGGTCAGGCTCACAGACTTGGTTGATGCATGGCATGATCCCAATTGCGTGGATCGATGGTCATGATGTCAATCACTGGATAGTATGGTCCATTCTCGATTATTTACTGACCACAGTCATATAGCTGGAATATTGCTGAGGGTGGCGTTAAACAATAAAGTGAACAAACAAACAAAACCCTCCCTAACTCCCCAGAATTCAGTCTACAATTCAAGCTGCAGCAAATGTCAATCACTCCTTCATTAGGAGCGGTCAGGTAGCCTAGTGGTTAAAGTGTTCGCTCGTCACGCCGAAGACCTGGGTTCGATTCCCGACATGGGTACAATGTGTGAGGCCCATTTCTGGTGTCCCCTGCCGTGATATTGCTGGAATATTGCTTAAAGTAGCGTAAAACCTCACTCACTCACTCACTCACTCACTCACTCACTCACTCACTCACTCATTACACTAATCAGTCCACTGAGAGTTGTTGAAGATGTTCAAAAGACTCTCAAACAATAGCAGTTTTCTGATATAGATGTCACTATTGGCTGAAGAATATGTATTGTGACATTGAGTCTTCTTCCAAGTAATCAAATCCATTAAATTGTCACTTAATGATATCAAATGCGTAAATATTAATTAGCTGGTTGTCAGGTCGTTATCATAAAAGCAAGTGTCCATGTCACATGAAATGTCATGGTGAGTGTGCTCGGGTGAGCATCAATGCAAGTTGCCACGTAGGTCTCTGCATCACTTGAGAAGATGTATAGAGACACATTAATAATGCGTGTGAGAGATGAAATGAGAAAACACAATTTATCACTGATTAACCAAAGTCTGGTTCGTCCGAATGTGCGGGCCCACCTGTTTACTCTTGGGACAAGAAAACTTTCAAGGTGTCTTTGAGAATTTGCTATAATTATTTAATGATGAGTAATGGGTTGATAATAGTAATTGTAGTAATTAGGAAATTAACTTTTTTTTTCTGTAAGAGAATTTTTCAGAAGTTGACAGCTCAAATCAACTTATTCTGTGATCTGAATTAGATTGTTTCAGTCTTCATTGCTTTGTATATGTGGTATCCCGTGGTGATTCCAGCTCAGAATAGGTCCCCAGCAACCACTTCCGGGGTAGAATAGGTCCCCAGCAACCCATGTTGGGCGTAAGAGGTGGCTAATTGGATCGGGTGGTCAGGATCTGAGACACTGGTTGATTGCTAACAATATCAGTCACTGGATTGTCTGGTCCAGACTCAAGTATTTACAGGCTACTATCATATAGCTGGAATATTGCAGTGCAGCTTTAAAAAATAAAAAAAAGATCTAATATTTTAAAGTGTTTTTAATTCACTAATTGTCATTAGTCAGTGTCTGGTGAACCTCAGCTTCTTTCCAACATTGCTGTTACATCAGAATATAACAAAACCCTGTAACCCATCCATCATTTCAACTGAGACCCTACAATTATTAAGAGATCAGTAGCTAGTTGTCAGGATAGTTATCATAAGGGTCATGTGAAAACTGAAAATAAACCATACTCTCAAAAGAAATTTAAGAACGCCCAATTCTTTCATATTATGGAAGAATTGGGTGTTCCTTACCTTTTTTGGAGTGGTATATTATAACTATATATCTTATTCAATGTTTCACCAATGAACGTTAAACCATGTTCTTGAATACCCGAATATGTTTGTGTTTATAGGGAAATATTAGATACCTGAAAACAATATGTACCTTCTTATTGCTTAAAAGGACATTAAACCCTACAAGACTTTATTTTGATGCAGTGATAAACATGGCCACTAGTCCATTTACCGATGGACCGCCTCCGTGGTCTTGTGGTAGAGCATCTGCCCGGAGAGCGGAAGGTCCGGGGTTCGATCCCCGACCGCGTCATACCAAAAGACGTTAAAAGATGGTACTTGTTGTTACCCTGTCTGGCGCTCGGCATTAAGGGGCTGAAACAAGGACTGGTCGGCTCGGAGTCAGTATACTGAGTCTGAGTGGGGTATTCATGTTAAATTGTGGCGTGGTATCTCAGTGAGCTAGCACTATAAATCGGCATCAGTCCGCACTAGTACAAGCAGCCACACAAACACATACACACATACATGCACGTCGCTATATAAGTGCAATAATCTTGGACGTGACGTTAAACACCATTTCACCTCACCTCACCATTTCCCGATGCTAGTTAAAATTTAGAGGGACTAGTTGTTTTCTCCGAAAATCTTGTTGTTTTACACGAACAACTGGTCAGAAATGATCTGTGGTCTACCTTGCTTTGACCAATGGTGTGAAACCCTAAAAAAGATGTAAAATGCCTTATAATTGTCTTACATGACATTGCCATCAAAGATCATTCCAGTCGCATGTCCTCCCTCTTATTGACTACAGGGGGCGGTCGGGTAGCCTACTGGTTAAAGCGTTCGCTCGTCACGCCGAAGACCCGGGTTCGAATCCCGACATGGGTACAATGTGTGAAGCCTATTTCTGGTGTCCCCCGCCGTGATATTGCTGGTATATTGCTTAAAACCATACTCACTCACTCACTCTTATTGACTACAGAATATGAAGCTGTTTTTTTTGCATTTTGTACACAATTGTGGGCATTATATATATTATTCTATGATGTGTTTTTTTCATTTCAGCAAAGCCCAGCTGCGTTTTGGAGATAGAATGGCTGTCCAATCAGACAAGGAACTAAATGACTTGCTTGACTTTAGTGCTGTGAGTATACTTTCATTCTTGTCCTGGGTGCCATTGTATAAAGCGATCTTAGCGCTAAGGTGATCGTAACTCCCATTCCTTAACATAGACTTACGACAGTCGTAGTGCTAAGGTTGTTTTGTACAACGGCACCCTGTGCCAGTAGAATAAATACCGATTAGCTGACTAAACAGAATCTGCTGGACGAGGAATTTTGCTGAAGTACTAGAATATGCTCTTCAGCCATCTGCTGAACTTCCAATCTGTTGGCCATTCTGCTGAAATAACAGATTACACAGGGTGGCCAGTTTGCTGGAGTATCTATTTAACAGTATACGGATGACAAGAGGGGTATTCGCTCGTCATGCTGAAGACCTGGGTTTGATTCCCGACATGGGTACAATGTGTGAAGCCCATTTCTGGTGTCCCCTGCCGTGATATTGCTGGAATATTGCTAAAATTGGCATAAGACCATCCTCACTCACTCACTTTGAACACTTTGTATACAACTCAAAAAGTAAACACAGCACTCAACAAATTCCCAGCATTTGAGGACAGCCTGTAAATAATCGAGTCCAGACCAGACAATCCAGTGATTGACATCATGAGCAAAGAACTAATCAGATGACACAAGATCAACTTAGTCACGGAACTGACCCCAAGATCCATAGTTGCTCGTATGGCCGGCATAGGAAACTAACTATTCTGGCCTCAATTCACCACAGGTTGGTTTGTTGTTTAACGCCGCACTCAGCAATATTCCAGCTATATGACAGTGGTCTGTCCAGACAATCCAGTGATTAATATTACAAGCATTGATCCACACAATTTGGATCGATGACATGCATCAACCAAGTCAGTGTGCATGACCACCCGATCCCGTTAGTCTCCTCTTACAACAAGCATAGTCGCCTTTTACAGCAAGCATGGGTTGCTGAAGACCTATTCTTCACGGGTCCAATTCACCGCAGGAAACAGTGTCACATGGTCCGTCCTCAGTGTCACATGGTCTGTCAAGGCTGCTGGTGATCCAGGCGTTCCGAGGTGTGTTCCACACCTTGTGTACTGTGTACATCACACAGCTGTTTCTCACCACGCTCATCGGGTCGATTTACGGAAGATATCCAGGAAAATCCTGGCCATGCTTGGCTGGTCACACCCTAAAGGTCCGGGATGACTACGAATTGATTATTGATAGAAAACGGATTGTGTATCTTGTCCACGATCTGACTTCAAAACAGGATGCTAAAACAATTTTGTCTGGGTATTTTTAAGAATAAGTAGTTTTGAATTACATTAGACTTTCCTATGTAAGAATTGCCCTTAGTAGTAACACGCTAGCCTGGGGTTTCCAGGTCAGACTAGGTCACCAGAACTCCAGCTTGTCTTTAGATGTGATGGGGCGGTGCGGTAGCCTAGTGATAAGAACATTTGCTCATCACACCGAAGAGCCAGGTTCAATTTCATTGGTACCGTGTGTGAAGCCTATTTGTGGTGTCCCCATGGTACCTGGTATGGTGATCCCTCTTTAGCTTTTGGCGACATATAGCCCATTTTTATATTCGGTTGTTGACCAATTCTTTATTCTTTTAAATGTTCTCAACTAGTTGCAAATCGAATCTGTGATATTCTACTTATTGTACTGTGCATCGATGACAGGTTTTTATTTACTCTAACATGTCGTCACGAAATGGCCGAATCTTGCCGATATGACGTTACATGGTTAAATATAAACTAACTCACTCACTCTGCTACGGCTAAAAGCAGCATAAAACCTGACTCACTCAGTGAATATATGATCAGGTGCTAGCCATGTTTCAGAATGGTGATGGTGTGTCATTGAACGCATGTGGTTTAGCGGAAATGCTAACAGCTATTCGTTGCCTGACCCTTACTGGATAAATTAATTAGTAATTCATTGATATAAATGATAATATCAGAACATATTTTGTTACGGTGATCAAATCAGTCATGTGCCATCATTTTACAGGGAATTATCTGTGTCAACCTGACATGAGTTAGGAACTTTTACTGCCATTTGTCAAAGGCTTCCAGGCATATTCTTCCTTTGATAAATCCCTGCTTAATATTAATATTATACACCATCTGAAAATGTGCAATATTTTGTCATACACAAGTTGTTTACATTTCAATTTTTTGTAAACAATGTTGTGGCCTTCAGAAGTGCAGTCTACTTCAAGCATTTATTTATGTACGAAGGTAGTATCTGAACAAAGGGATCAAGGCAGGTGTTGTCTCTTTACTGTGAGCAACCCATGATCGCAAATCCTGGTTCACAATACCAGGGTACAAAGCTGGGCCATTGTGTCAAAGGGAGGTAACCATGCATGACCTAGGCGGGTATGTTGTGCTTACCTCATGGCCTGAGTAAAGGGTAGGTGGTATGGGTCGTATTCCATAGGAAATGAAGCGAGGGTTCAGATGCTGATATGGCTATGTTATGCAAATTTAGAATAGTAAGGGTTAAGTTTATTGTAGGCTGCCATATTGGGTGTCACGACAAATGTGTAAGGGCCTTTTGAATTTTGTAAACTTTCTAAATTGAGTTTGAAAATGACTGTGATTTTATGTCTTTTCATTTGTCATAGACATTTGAATTTATAGTTCATCATGGGGCACGGGTGGGACAGTCGTCCAAGGTGCTGCCATTCACTGTGCAGGCTTGGATCCCTTGGGCACGTCAGAAACCTTTGATCATGGCATCGTGTTGCTCGGTTTGTCTGCACCATACCTGTGCTCGTGGATGTCATGTCACGTCTAAGACCTGGTTTTCCTCCAACGCTCAACTGACATACCGTGATATAACTGGAATACTGTTCAAAGCTGCGGTAAATCCAACTCGCTCACTTACTAATGATTCATCAGTAAATTTGTACCAATCATTAAACAAATCTGAACTCTTAAAACACATCTTTGATAACTTAGGAAATTTCAGAAATGCTCTGTCATTCGTCTTCGTCACAGATATTTTAGGTGATTTCTATGGTTTGAATAATATTATTCATATCATTTTCCTAATCCCCAATGATATGTGACATTTTCGTAAAAAGTAGAATCCAGTTTTAGAATCAGAATTTTGTTCACTCATCCCTGGAGTAGTGTCCTGCCAAATCTACTAGTCCGAAGTTGAAAGTTACTTGGCTCGACCATATATTTCAGCTTTGGTTTGCATTTTGTGTTTACCTGCGTTAACCTGGTTGTTTCAACTCCTGTAGGGATTCCAGGCGAGTGTCCGTCCCCAGCAAACGATGATGGTCGAGGCAACCAAATTGATCAGGTGGTCAGGCTCTGTGACTTGGTTGATAGTGTGGATCGTTGCTCACAATAACGATCACTGGATTGTTTGGTCCAGACTTGATTATTTACAGGCTGTCGTCAGATAGCTGGAATATTGCAGTGTTGTGTTAAAAAACAAACAAAATTAAAAACTTTTTTTCCTAATAAGGGAGGTTGGTAGACTTATTTCTTAGAACTACTACCGTATTCGACGTAATAAGCTCCCCGCTCTAATAAGCGCCCACAGCGATATTTGCTGATATATTGGCAAGTGAACAAGCCCAATTAGCATCCCTTCTGACTGACCAATGTACACAAGACTTATTTATTCGGAAAAAACGCACACGTGTGTTATACGCACCCTTATTTATGGGCAATTAAATTCTGGAAAAATCTGTCTTACATAAACATTTCAGGCTGTCAGCATACACCACGAAATTTATCTTTCAACTATGTTTTTTTTTCACCAAAATAATATTCTAATAAGAGCTCCCTATTTCTAATTTTGAGAACGCCCTGCTCACTTATTACATCAAATACGTTGTATCTTATATATGGGAGAGGTGCTGTAAAGCCAGCAGTAATAACTTTTTATGTTTGTTCTTTGTTTTATCAGTGAATATCATTGGAAAAAAGACATCAAAGTAGGTTGAAATTAAAAAATATAAACAAATTTATTGTGTTATGAGAGGGTTCATAGACTATATGTTACTTGAGAGAAACAATTTCATGCATGCTGAGAAAGAAATATTGAAACCAAAGTGTTCCATTTATTTGTTGGTGAGTATATGACCATGCTGAATGCATAATAGCAGTTTGGGGAAGCCGTTTCGAGGAGGTTTCAATGCCACTACAAGTCCGACATGTTTCTCCCTCCCTCCAGGGTTTAAGCCTAGCAGTTTGCATGTAGGCACGTGTAGATACACAAATTTTTCTTATCATGGTAATTGATGTTGAATTCAACAGTAGGGGGTAGGAGAATGAAAAATTGCTTATATCCCGCAATAAAATTGGTTAGAAATGCTTGCAAACGTATCTGGAGAGCACTTAAAGTCGGCTGTAGGACCAGTCAACCAATAAGGCTGTGGGTAGGTAGCGTGGCGGAGGAAGCACTTGCACAACACATGTTGGTTGGTTTGTTGTTTGACGCCGCACTCAGCAATATTCCAGCTAGAAGACGGCGGTCTGTAAATAATCGAGTCTGGACCAGACAATCCAGTGATTAATATCATGAGCATCAATCCACACAATTGGGATATTTTGACATGCATCAACCATGTCAGCGAGCCTGAATTGCAAGACTGGTGTACAATACCTTATGGTTATAAGAAGAAATTCAGAGATTGATTAGATTAAACAATGGCTTGAGCATGTTGATGAGTTGTGTTCACACTCGGTGAGAGTTTGTTTAAAACCATATATGTTCTTCTTTTAGAAGGACTTTGTCTTGGTACATGATCTCATGATATGATGCATGTATCCATAATTTTCTGATCGCTGAACAGATATTTTAAATGGTTGAATCATTACTCTGAGGTTCAGTCCAATGATAGTCCATGCAGTAGGCGCTGGTTTCAGCAGTGAGCTTTCTGAAGAGGTTGGGGGCGGTGGGATAAATTGTCACACGGAAGGCCATGGTACAATGTGTGATGCCAATTTCTGGCGTCCTCTGCCATGATATTGCTGGAATATTGTTGATAACGGTGTATAACCCAACTCACTCT